AAAGATTAAAAGGCTGTATCAGACTGTGCTTAATGCAGGCTGTGCTTAATGCATAATTTGCACGCTTTTTTAAGGTTAAGTAGTTTGATTCAGCCGGTGCATCAATCCCCCGGAATATTTTTACAGAATGTGTATATTATTATTTTTTTTAAAGTTTATATTATTATTGCAACTGCAGATTTTAATTTTGTTGTTACTGTTAAAATAACACATTATTATTCTTTTAATATCTTTTTCCAATTTTTACAAATTTAGTGAAATAGTAGGATTTCTTTGTGCACCAGTAACGTGAAAAGCTATCAGAGATTTCCTTAACATCAGATCTATTTCATATATTTCCTCCATAAACCCTCTAAATGAAAATTATTAAAAATACTCTTCAGCTCGGTGAAACTTCCACCCGACTTGTTTTTCCATACAGAAAGGCACTCTCTCATCGCTGGCTTAGAGTTACTACCGTGCTGCTTCAAGATACGTGATGCCTCGTTGTAGTCAATACCGAGTCCCACGGACAGTTCATTGTATTTATCGTAAGGGATGTGGGCTGTAAGAATATTCAGTTGTCCATCCGATACCGCGTCACTATATATGACAATGATTTAAACAATAAGGAATTATTATGAAAAGTATTTCTCAACTCACTGTGAATTTCTGCTGGGTCGTATTGTTATAATGTCCGTGAGCAGCTCTTATTTACATTAGTTGGAAGTGGTTTGCCAATTCCATTGCGTTGTCATGGGAGACTTCGTCAATTTATATTTCAATTCTCGTTACGTTTTTGGTAGATACCCCTCTGTAAGCTTTCAAGTCGTTTTTAACATTCATCCTCCAAGCATTAAGAATATCAAATTCTTCATAGCTGCAATGAGCTCTTCGACTACTAAATGTCTGGATTCATCAAGTTTTATGAAAAAATAGTTATTGATGAATTATTTTGTATTATTAGTAGTAGTATTATCATTTATATGTACATTTTGTTTTGTTGGGGGGGGGGTATACTAAGTTTCGGCCTATCCTATCAATGAGATATTAATTAAGAATGATCTAAAAGCCATAATTTTACCATTTAGCGGTTACGAAAGAAATCTAACCTGGTTTGAGAAGTGGAAACTTCATCGGCTACTGCTGTTGCTTCTTGAGGAGGAATGGCGACTGATGTGGATACCAAGGATAATGAGGAAGCGGAATTTGTGTTTCCTAGTGATGTCTTGGCTGTTGCTGATGGTTAAAATGGGAAATTGTCTGAACTTCGTAAAAATATTTGTTCATTACGTTCATGTAATTGGTTGTAGAATTATGTTACATTGTAAATTGAATTACGATTCGATCACACAAATATTAATTTGTCATTGATTAAATCTTGTTACCTCATTTTATTATTATTTCATACAATCTGCTAAGGATCAACATGCAATGTATGTTGGTGAGATTAAGTTTGAAGTTGAAAAAAACTAATGTAGGCGAATTCCTTACATCTAAATTTAGGGTCTTTCTTAGAAGAGGAGAGGGATGGAAATAGTAAGAACAAAATATATGCTAAACAAGAAGTGTAAAGCCTACAGAGACGAAATTATCAGGTTTTTTGTTAAAGTTCATGTCTGCCCATGACACTCATAATGTCCGTTCATGACAAAGAGTTTCACACTTATAACGAAAGTTGGAGTTTGGTTTAGGATTCGATCGATGTGACAAATAAATCAACCTCCCTCATTAATATTTGCAGCTGAAATTAAATGTCAATGACAGCTAGTTTACATAAAACAGACAAAATACAGCAGCAGTCAAGATTCCCGTTTCTATTTCATCCGTTAGTGACAAAGAATTTTTCATGTATTATTTAGTAGAGGATTACCAAGTTTTATCAAATTTTAACACATCCGATTAGTGATAACTTTTACATTTAAACATTTTTTTTTTAGCATGGTTAATGTAATAATGCTTGCGGCCTATAGTAAAAGTGAAACACGTGACCTCCCTTACTTGAGTCAAACAAAACAGATGAGCTAATTTTCTTTTTTTAACTCACGAGAAGCAAGGAAATGTGTCTTGAACATTATTACCATTGGACGCTTAGACTGTATCACTTCCAGATTCACCAGCAGGTCATCTGCTTTCCCGATAAAGTTCAATTTGAAGTAGACAGTATGCTTACTCTTTTCGAGGAAGGTTGCATCCACAATCTGTCGTTGGATATAATTGAGTGTTTATATTAGCACAATATACAGGAAAAGAGGATTAAAATAAAATTTGAATACATTTGTAGGGGAGTACACATGAGGTTATTACATACGATGAACAAGTTAAGATAACATTAAATGCATCTTCTATATAGAATACAAGGTGGTGGAACTATGGAGGATAGGATCACAGATATATTTGTCTCCTTGAAGGTGGTGAAAACAATCAAAATTCCAAACGCCTTCACATATTAAACTGGTAGGCTTTTCAGGATTTAAGCTACAAGTTTACGCTAATTATAACCCGAATTGGTTTTCTCAACGCAAACTAAGTCGTCTAGCTACTGCAAATAGATCCTGTGAACAATCTAATGAAACTTAATTGTATTGGGTTTTCACCTACTTTGCTAAGAACATAAACAAGATGAGATTCACGGCGTAACGGTAGGTTAGGAATTTAAGCGTGACCGATTGTTTTATTTTATTTGGGCAAGTTTACGATTGCAAATTCCTACCCAATAAACTTTTTTTTTTAAAGTTCTTCCATATCTAATATTGTTCAGTATGTACTATTTAGTAACTTGCTCATTCAGCGCATTAATACAAAAGTGCACAGATCTGCCAATGTTACGACGCTACGCTGCCCTACTAAACTGTATCTCTCAAGAAAAATGCTACCTAGTAATGTGTTTAAGTCAAATGAAGTGGTGGTTCTTGAAATGCTGGTATCTCCCAGATTACATATACGGTCTTTCATATCAGAACTTATATCAGATCTTAATTGTCATCTTACTAGGTAATATATGAATATTTATTCACAATCAGGTACATGGTGTGTAAGCAATAAAGAATAAACTGATTCATTATACTTCAGATATCATACAGTCAAGACCAGTTTGAACCCAAGAGCCACAACATCTAATACGGAAAGGGGAAGGTGTGTGTGTGTGTGTGTGTGTGGGGGGGGGGGGCTCTCACCTTTCTACATGTGTCATTTTCATTCAGTTGGCAAGTGATTTCCATATCTTTGCGTTTGACATTCATCTCATCATCATCATCTTTAGCGGGTTGATACTCTGCTTTCTCTCCGATTTCATGAACATCTCTCTGTGACAAGGCAATATGACAAGACGATGTTTATTTATACAAATTTCAGACTTGAGAATACGCAGAAGTTGCATGTATCATCGTTCAAACTGGCACAAAATATATTTTTCTAAATAGTTTTTAGCTTCGAAGGATGGCATAACGGCAACACTTTGAATCATTTATAGAGGTATTGACACGCAACTTCCAGAATAATTTATCATTCACTAGGCCAATAGTGAATTCAATATGAATAATTTTAACATTCCATCAGTTTACTGTTTTAACCATGTTGAGTTAGAAATGGGATGGAATAGAAAGGAAAGTGATCGTGTTCTTTCGGTTGTCCTTTAGATCACTACTTGATATTGTAAGGAGAGAGGTAGGGAAAATTAAGCGAGGTATTATTTAGTGAGTGCAGGTAGGCTGGATGAACCAGGCCATGACGCTCCTCTCATTATTAGCCTGGTTAAGTTCACCATTCTTTTATGGACTACCTACATATAGTGAAAGCGCAAAGTTAAAGAATATTACACATATCACCATGCAAAACATAACTTTTGAAGATTATTTGAATCCCTTTAATTTGTAGTCATTACAAACAGCATGGATCTAGTTTTACGTCTTTCATGTTAATGGAAATGGAGCCGATCCTATCAGTGCATCATTATTCACTTAGTGGGCAATTGGTGAACATTAATGTATGTGTGTTTTAATGAAAAAAATAGTAGATATTTAATTGACATTACTTAATATGACAGATATTTATGCCATACCCAAGAGTTTCCATGAGGTTTGTTGGCCATACGAAACTCCAGCGGCATTTCCCTACACTGTGGCATAATCTTTGGAAGAAAAGGCATGAAGGACATTTGTTTGCTTTTCATGTAGAACAGATTTGTAATGAAGGCCGGAAATACTATTGTAAAGTGCTCCAGTAAAAACTCCACATGGTTGCATGTAACCAGACAGGTTCTTGAAGTTTGTACAATGCGATCAGCTTCTCCTTCTGTAAATAAAAAATGAAATGAATTGAATACAAAAACATTAGTAGTAGTAGTAGTTGTTGTTGTGGTAGTAGTATGATTACATTTAGTTCTTTCTTCAATATCAGTGGAAACATTACTTGTTTTTTTGGTAAGCTTTCACTCGCTGAGCTACAAGCTTCTTCAGACCTTTGTATTTCTTTCCACTGTTTGTAAAGAAACAAGGAATTTTCAAGCTACATCACCGATCAGATGAACCTCTTTGTTGATTTAGTGGAAGTCAAGGTTGTAGTGATTTGCCACTCGCTACCAAGATGTAAATTGGTACCTTGCAATTACTGGGGTAATAATAATCGTAGGGTTATAAGGATAAGTAGCATTAATGCTGATGATTCTTGCGTGAGTGAAATTGATATTATTATCATTATTATTATTAGTAGTAGTACTAGTACTAGTAGAAGTAGTATTATTATAATCATCAGTATCATTATTATTATTATATTTACTACTACTGTAAATATTCACCCTGTTCTAGATCCTAGTCGAATTATCATTCTGTCTATCTATGATCCTTTACCCCACCCAGTTGTTAAATGGGTATCTGCTCAGATGATTTCAGTTTGCATGCCTGTTAAATGACCACTGGCTGGAATGCTCTCCATTTAGTTGGAGGGTATGTGGTATTATTACAACTGAAAATTAAACTATTTTCTTCTGATTTCGACATGTCAATGAACTTTCTGTTTCTTGATCACATTGCCTTACCGTGATTCCAGAAGTACAATACGACCTGCACTTTTGTCGGATCAATGAGGTTAGCACAATGAGGAATCTTCAATCTGACAGGTTTCTCTGATACAAATTGTAATCCTGAAGGAAGACACTGGAAGCCATAGGTAAGAACCGTCTCATCGGGTCTCAGAGTGATTGCAGATGGAATGTTTTTGAGAACATCTAAAGTGATCGTTTCACTAGAACCCTCTTGCAGCGCACCGGGAGGGATGGAAAGAGTGAACCCGAATGGCGGGATCTGTAGCTCTCCTCCAGTATGGTCAAAGATCCCTTCACAATGGTATTTGTCTACGGTTAAAATCAAATTCATTGCAAAAGACGATCTGACAGATTAGAAGAAGGTGTAAAGGCTACGAGCCATTAAATCCCACGCATGGACCCCCACATTCCTTCAAATACTCTCACGTTATGTCCCTCATTACTACACATTTCCCTTTTTTGTAATATATGTTCAGCACGTATAAAAAATGCATGACAATATTTATATCTGGAGTTACAAATTAAATGAGATAACTGTTCTTGTTTTTACAATGCACCCACGTCAATCAAAATCAAAATGAAAACCTTATTAATCATATATTTGTCATTATTTGTTTATGATAATGTATGTTAAATTATTTATTTAAAATAGAGTGTTACCTCGATGAGCTCTGATGATGTCCATGGCAGGAGACCTGAGAATTTATGCAAATGACAACAAAGAAAAGTGATATTAACATATTGTTTCAACCTTCAAGATATGCTTGGGCAAGAAAAAGGTGTTTGATCAAATATCCACAGATCTTTTACCCATGGAGAGGTCTTACGTTCTGCATTTAAGAATAGTCATTGCTAAAGTAATGAAGGTGCTTCATATATGACTACTTTCTGTTTTCCTTCTAGGAAAGAATACTTCCACCTGTGTACAATATAATAAACTGTTGGTGCATAAATGAATAAATACTTTCATGAACACATATTCAGCGTTCATCTCAATGCTTTAAAAAAAGTATTTTTTGAATAGTTTTACAATATCTACAAACTCGTTTATATAATCATCAGGAATACTGACATTTAAGACATGGCCAGGACAAAACGGGACATATGTTATGTATGGGACAATTAGCGTTCTTAAACGCATTTTTGCACACACTTTTGTCAATAAAGACTCAACTATCTAAAGAAAAAAAAAATCAAACAAAAGTCAGCACAACTAATATTTCAACTTGCCAACAAAATATCTGACTAAAATTTTAAATAAATTACTGCACTTTTGAGTATTACTCTTTATTCTAGTGTTCATATTGGCTGAATTCAATTTGAACACTTTTTAATGGATCTGCCGAGGTGAAATTGCCCTATTTAATCCGCGTTTGATAATAAACCTTGGTACCAACCGTAGATATACCTCGGCTGGAAACCCAAATCCAAATTTAAGAAAGCCAAGTTAATAATTTTCATTTGTTTTTTAAATAATAAACACACTTTACCAGTAAGAGTGTATCTGACTAAAGTTTTTTTAAACAGTATTATCAACTAGTCACTGGGCACTTTGCAGTGCACACTCCACTCCCTGTGGAGCCTTTTAGCCAGTTACACTGTTGTTTGGTCGTGCGCAAGCTAATCAAATCACATAGGCGTTCACATCCTAGCAGGTACACATTTACTACTTGGATGGAGTGGAGCATTGTATATAACAAATGCCCAAGGACATACATGTCATGCAGAGAATCTAAAGAACCCACGACCTTTGGCATTTTAAGTCGAGTGTTTAAATCACTTGACTATTACACCGCTTCTATATTTGTTCCAAATTAATATAATACTCCCTCACCTTGAGAATATCATCTGGCGAATGACTTCATCCTTGGCATAGTGGACTGGTAGGTTGCCTTGGTTATCCTTGATGTCCGGCTTTGCTCCATGATCCAAGAGATAGAAGACCAGGGCCTTCCTGGGAGACAATTCATTCTGATAGAACTCTTCTGAGATCTAAAAGAATTATCAATAGAAACGGTTGTCTAAACTTTGGGAGGCCTTTGTGTTTTAGAAGATTTATCCACAGATTCATAATTCCGAACATTTTGTTCTGTTTTTTGCTCATGGTTCGTTTACGTTTATAATTCCAAAAGTTAAAAAGGTATCATTACTCCAAAGGTTGTTAATCCGCAAAATGGAATAAGGTTCGTTATTCCAAAGGGTCTGTAATTCTAAAAAGTGTTACAGAATTGTTGTCATTTTTGCAATTATGAGCTTAATTTTATTTTCAGACTTACAAATCCTCTTTAGTTTTCAGAATTATATGAATCCTATTTCATTTTTCAAGAATAAGACCTCTTTTTTGTAATGTAGTTTTAGAGACTTATTCATTGTTAAATTGCTATGCTCACTCATGTGTGAATGGTATGATTCCAATTGCATAATTGTAGTAAGCGATTTGGTTAGTGTAGTAAATTACTGCACAGCAATTTTCGCTGGAGCAAGTGTCGTACAATCCCAGGAATAGTGTGTTCTTGAGTTCATCATCTTACCTTTTGGAGTGCTGACGTTGCTTCAACTTTGCTGTCCTCCCGACCTGAAAGACTGATGGCTTCGTGAAGACAGGTCTGTCCGTCTATGGACTGGATGTTGAGATCGGCGCCATGAGAAACTAATGTCTCGATGATGGAGGTGTAGCCATTTTGCGTGGCTAAATGAACTGCTGTGCAGCCTTTCTGGGGATGTTGCCAAACAACCTGGGTAAAACAACAGCCTCAAGAAATCAAAATCTAAAAACAAAATCAGGCTTTATTATGCATATAAGCAGTTTCTTTTCTAGTTTTTCATATGTTTAATCACCATATAGATATACATATACTCAGATATTCAAATGTAAGCGATTATTAAACAGTCAAACCTGCATGTTAAGGTCACCCATGGGAAACAAGAACAGTGGCCACTGTAGACAGGTCCTCAAACACACATTTCTTTCTCGAGGGAAGCAAAATAAACGGCCACCTTACAAAGGTGCTTTCATAGAGAGGTAGCCACTAAGACATGTTTGACTTACATGTCTATGCACTTGTACAATATAGGTTTTGAGAAATCCTTGTGGAATCATTTTAACCTTTTTCATAATTCAGACAATCAGGATTATAACGGCTGGAGACTGGCTAACCCTTTTTGATTTATAGTGGTATGGTTTTGATAATTTTTGTTCATATGAAATTATAGGAATACAAAATCAAATACCTTCTTCTCATCTCCAGTTAAACCCTCAGTATCTGCACGGCCATTTGAAGAAGAAGGGTGTTTCTGCCCTTCAGCACACCACGTATCTGTACTCGTCCCATGCACTTGGTCTTGTTCTGCAGCGAGTTGCAACGTAGTCTGATCGGGTTTAATCAGATTTACTTCAGCTCCGTGCTCCAATAGATATCTTGTGACATCGGTATGTCCATTTGCAGCAGACAAATGCAATGCAGATGATCCCTTCTTGGTAACCTTGCTAACATCTGCAAGTTGGTGAAGTAGATACTTCATGACATCGATGTGGCCATTCTGAGCAGCAATGTGCAAGGGAGTTCAACCGTCATTGTCTGTCGCATTAATGTCGGCTCCGTGGTTGAGCAAGCCTTTCGTGATATCGATATGGCCATTCTGCACTCCGACATGTAGGGCTGTAGAACCTTTCTCCTTGGTGGCTCCGTTGACATCTGCTTCTCGCCTAAGCAAATGCTCGGTAACGTCGCCACGGCCAATGAATGCAGCAACATGTAAAGGAGAGATACCATCAGCATCCCCTTTTGCTACTTCAGCTCCTTGTCCAAGTAGATAATCTACAACATCAAGATGACCCATTTGCGCAGCAAAGTGAAGAGCAGTCCAGCCAACATTGTTGCTTTCGTTCACATCAGCTCCTTGACTGATCAGATACCGAACAACTGCAAGACAGCCACCTTCTGTAGCATATTGTAATGATGTGCGACCAACTGTTCTGCTTCCTTGACTTTCAAGAAGATTTTGATAGTCAAAATTAGACCCTGTAAGTGGCATTCGCACAATAGCCATTCCCCCTTATAATGTCTTATCCTTATCGCCATCTTGATATTTGCGTCTACCAAGACCACTTTCTGGAGCACCTCTAAAGACAGTGAGAGAATCAACAAGTCTGCTAACTGCACGATCTACATGACTCTGCATACATCGCACAACATCATAGTGACCATACTGTCCATCAAATTGTAATACGACAGAGTCACATACACTTCTCTTATTCAGTTCAGAGCCTTGGCTTATCAGATACTTCGTAATGTCGATCTGACCAGCATATAAAGCAAAATGGAGGGCAGTTATTCCATCTGCGTCGCAATTACCTGCCTCAACTCCATGAACGATTAGAGATTTGACGATATCTAAATGACCAGACGCTGATGCAAAATGTAGGGCAGTCACTCCGTATTCATTTCCTTTATTCATATCGGCCCCTTCACTGATCAAATATTCCACGACATCCAAGTTCCCTTTCTCTGAGGCATTATGCAAAGCACACCCACCAAAGTCATTGCTAGAATTCACATCAGCTCCTTGACTTAGCAAATATTTTGTCAAGGTGTCCATTACTTGCTGCAATGTGTAAGGCTGTCCAACCAAAAGAACCAGCTTTCTCCAGCTCGGCTCCTTGACTGACCTGATCTTTCATGGCATCAAGATCGCCTCTCTCTGCAGCGGAATGCAACTCCGTCCAATGAATTATATTTGATTTGGCCAGCTCAGCTTGCTGAGTAAGCAAGGCACTTGAAACATGAACATGACCAGCAGCTGCGGCAAGGTATAATGCTGACCATCCCTTTTTATTAGCCTTATCAACATCAGCTCCATGACTGATCAGATATTCGGTGACATGAAGATGACCATTCTGTGCTGCCGAATGTAAAGGGGTACAGCCATCCAGATTGCCCTTATTTACCTCGGCTCCTTGACTGAGGAGAAATTCGATCACATGAAGATGACCATTCTGTGCTGCCGAATGTAAAGGGGTCCGGCCATCATTTATGCTCTTATTCACCTCAGCTCCTTGACTGATCAGTTCTTTGACAACATCAAAATGACCATTCTGCGAAGATAGATATATTGCAGTCCGACCATTATTTGTGCTGTTATTCACCACAGCACCTTTACTAATCAATTCTTTGACGACATCAAGATGACCATTCTGTGAAGCTAGATGCAATGCAGTCACACCGTCATTTGTGCTGCTATTCACGTTAGCACCTTGACTGGTCAACTCTTTGACAACATCTAGATGATCACCATGTGAAGCTCGATATAATGCAGTCCAACCATCATTTGAGCTGTTATTCACCACAGCTCCTTGACTGATCAATTCTTTGACGACATTAAGATGGCCACCATGTGAAGCCAGATGTAATGCAGTCGAACCGTCATTTGTGCTGCTATTCACGTTAGCACCTTGACTGATCAATTCTTTGACGACATCAAGATGACCATTCTGCGAAGCTAGATGTAATGCAGCCAAACTGTCATTTGTGCTGTTATTCACCACAGCACCTTGACTGATCAACTCCTTGACAACATCTAGATGACCATTCTGTGAAGCCAGATGTAATACCGTCACACCGTCATCTGTGCTGATATTTACGTTAGCACCTTGACTGGTCAACTCTTTGACGACATTAAGATGGCCACAATGTGACGCTCGATATAATGCAGTCCAACCATCATTTGAGCTGTTATTCACCACAGCTCCTTGACTGATCAATTCTTTGACGACATTTAGATGGCCACCATGTGAAGCCAGATGTAATGCAGTCGAACCGTCATTTGTGCTGCTATTCACGTTAGCACCTTGACTGATCAATTCTTTGACGACATCAAGATGACCATTCTGCGAAGCTAGATGTAATGCAGCCAAACTGTCATTTGTGCTGTTATTCACCACAGCACCTTGACTGATCAACTCCTTGACAACATCTAGATGACCATTCTGTGAAGCCAGATGTAATACCGTCAAACCGTCATTTGTGCTGCTATTCACGTTAGCGCCTTGACTGATCAACTCTTTGACAACATAAAGATGACCACAATGTGACGCTCGATATAATGCACTCCAACCGTCATTTGTGCTGTTATTCACCTCAGCACCTTGACTTATCAACACTTTGACGACATCCAGATGACCATTCTTCGAAGCCAGATGTAATGCAGTCAAACCGTCATTCATGCTGCTATTCACGTTAGCACCTTGACTGATCAACTCTTTGAAAACGTAAAGATGACCATTCTGTGAAGCTAGATGTAATGCAGCCAAACTGTCATTTGTGCTGTTATTCACCACAGCACCTTGACTGATAAACTCCTTGACAACATCTAGATGACCATTCTGTGAAGCCAGATGTAATACCGTCACACCGTCATCTGTGCTGATATTCACGTTAGCACCTTGACTGGTCAACTCTTTGACGACATTAAGATGGCCACAATGTGACGCTCGATATAATGCAGTCCAACCATCATTTGAGCTGTTATTCACCACAGCTCCTTGACTGATCAATTCTTTGACGACATTTAGATGGCCACCATGTGAAGCCAGATGTAATGCAGTCACACCGTTATTTGTGCTGTTATTCACCACAGCACCTTGACTGATCAACTCTTTGACAACATCTAGATGACCACCATGTGAAGCTCGATATAATGCAGTCCAGCCATTACTTGTGCTGTTATTCACCACAGCACCTTTACTGATCAATTCTTTGACGACATCAAGATGACCATTCTGTGAAGCCAGATGTAATACCGTCACACCGTCATCTGTGTTGAAATTCACGTTAGCACCTTGACTGGTCAACTCTTTGACGACATTAAGATGGCCACAATGTGACGCTCGATATAATGCAGTCCAACCATCATTTGAGCTGTTATTTACCACGCCTCCTTGACTGAGGAGATATTCGATCACATGAAGATGACCATTCTGTGCTGCCGAATGTAAAGGGGTCCGGCCATCATTTATGCTCTTATTTACCTCAGCTCCTTGACTGATCAGTTCTTTGACAACATCTAGATGACCACCATGTGAAGCTCGATATAATGCAGTCCAGCCATTATTTGTGCTGTTATTCACCACAGCACCTTTACTGATCAATTCTTTGACGACATCAAGATGACCATTCTGTGAAGCCAGATGTAATACCGTCACACCGTCATCTGTGCTGATATTCACGTTAGCACCTTGACTGGTCAACTCTTTGACGACATTAAGATGGCCACAATGTGACGCTCGATATAATGCAGTCCAACCATCATTTGAGCTGTTATTCACCACAGCTCCTTGACTGATCAATTCTTTGACGACATTAAGATGGCCACCATGTGAAGCCAGATGTAATGCAGTCGAACCGTCATTTGTGCTGCTATTCACGTTAGCACCTTGACTGATCAATTCTTTGACGACATCAAGATGACCATTCTGCGAAGCTAGATGTAATGCAGCCAAACTGTCATTTGTGCTGTTATTCACCACAGCACCTTGACTGATCAACTCTTTGACAACATAAAGATGGCCACAATGTGACGCTCGATATAATGCAGTTCAACCGTCATTTGTGCTGTTATTCACCTCAGCACCTTGACTAATCAACTCTTTGACGACATCCAGATGACCATTATTCGAAGCCAGATGTAATGCAGTCACACCGTTATTTGTGCTGTTATTCACCACAGCCCCTTGACTAATCAACTCTTTGACGACATTTAGATGACCATTCTGCGAAGCTAGATGAAATGCAGTCACACCGTCAATTGTGCGGCTATTTACCTCACAACCTTGACTGATCAATTTTTTGACGACATCAAGATGGCCACAATGTGAAGCTAGGTGTAATGCAGTCAAACCGTCATTTGTGCTGTTATTTACCACAGCACCTTGACTGATTAGTTCTATGACGACATCAAGATTACCACAACATGAAGCTAGATGTAATGCAGTCACACCGTCATCTGTGCTCATATTCACCACAGCACCTTGACTGATCAGTTCTTTGACGACATCAAGATGACCATTTTGTAAAGCCAGATGTAATGCAGTCAAACCTTCATTTGTGCTGCTATTCACCGCAGCACCTCGACTGATCAAATCTTTGACGACATGAAGATGACCATTCAGCGAAGCTAGATGTAATGCAGACCAACCGTCATTTGTGCTGTTATTCACCGCAGCACCTTGACTGATCAAATCTTTGACGACATCAAGATGACCATTCTGCGAAGCTAGATGTAATGCAGTCAAACCGTCATTTGTGCTGTTATTGAACACAGCACCTTCACTGATCAACTCTTTGACGACACCACGATGGCCACAATGTGAAGCTAGATGTAATGCAGTCACACCGTCATCTGTGCTGTTATTCACCCAAGCACATTGACTGATCAGTTCTTTGACGACATCAAGATGATCATTATGTGAAGCTAGATGTAATGCAGTCACACCGTCATCTGTGCTGTTATTCACCTCAGCACCTTGACTGATCAGTTCTTTGACGACATCAAGACGACCATTCTTCGAAGCTAGATGTAATACCGTTGCACCGTCATCTGTGGTGTTATTCACCTCAGCACCTTGACTGATCAGTTTTCTGACGACCTTTAGATGACCATTCTGCGAAGCTAGATGTAATGCAGTCCAGCCATTATTTGTGCTGGTATTCACCATAGCATCTTGACTAATCAACTCTTTGACGACATCAAGATGATGATTCTGTGAAGCCAGATGTAATGCAGTCCAACCGTCATTTTCAACTTTATTTATCACAGCACCTTCACTGATAAGTTCTTTGACGACTTTAAGATGACCATTCTGTGAAGCCAGATGTAATGCCGTCAAACCTTCATTTGTGCTGTTTTTCACCACAGCACCTTGACTGATCAGTTCTTTGACGACATTAAGATGACCATTCTGTGAAACCAGATGTAATGCAGTCACATCGTCATTTGTGCTGTTATTTACCGCAGCACCTCGACTGATCAACTCTTTGACGACACCACGATGACCATTCTGTGAAGCCAGATGTAATGCAGTCACACCCTCATTTGTGCTGTTATTCACCACAGCACCTTGACTGATCAATTCTTTGACGACATTAAGACGACCATTCTGTGAAGCCAGATATAATGCAGTCCAACCGTCATTTGTGCTGTTATTGACCACAGCACCTTCACTGATCAACTCTTTGACGACACCAAGATGGCCACAATGTGTAGCTAGATGCAATGCAGTCACACCGTCATATGTGCTGTTATTCACCAAAGCACATTGACTGATCAGTTCTTTGACGACATCAAGACGACCATTCTGCGAAGCTAGATGTAATACTGTCGCACCGTCATCTGTGGTGTTATTCACCTCAGCACCTTGACTGATCAGTTCTCTGACGACATTAAGATGACCATTCTGCGAAGCTAGATGTAATGCAGTCCAGCCATTATTTGTGCTGTTATTCACCACAGCACCTTGACTGATCAATTCTTTGACGACATCAAGACGACCATTCTGTGAAGCCAGATATAATGCAGTCCAACCGTCATTTGTACTGTTATTGACCACAGCACCTTCACTGATCAACTCTTTGACGACACCAAGATGGCCACAATGTGTAGCTAGATGTAATGCAGTCACACCGTCATATGTGCTGTTATTCACCAAAGCACATTGACTGATCAGTTCTTTGACGACATCAAGACGACCATTCTGCGAAGCTAGATGTAATACTGTCGCACCGTCATCTGTGGTGTTATTCACCTCAGCACCTTGACTGATCAGTTCTCTGACGACATTAAGATGACCATTCTGCGAAGCTAGATGTAATGCAGTCTAGCCATTATTTGTGCTGTTATTCACCACAGCACCTTGACTGATCAACTCTTTGACGACATCAATATGACCATTCTGTGAAGCCAGATGTAATGTACTCCAATCGTCATTTTCAACTTTATTCACGACAGCACCTTTACTGATCAATTCTTTGACGACATCAAGATGACCATTCTGTGAAGCTATATGTAATGCCGTCACACCATCATCTGTGCTGTTATTCACCTGGTCACCTTGACTTATCAGTTCTTTGACGATATCAAGATGGCCACCATATGCAGCTAGAAATAATGCAGTGAAACAGTCATTTGAGCTGATATTCATCACAGCGCCTTGACGGATCAATTCTTTGACGACATCACGGTGGCCACCATGTGAAACTAGATGTAATGCAGTCAAACCGTCATTTGTGCTGTAATTCACCTTAACACCTTGACTGATCAATTCTTTGACGACATCAAAATGACCATTCTCTACAGCTTGATGTAATGCAGTCCACCCATGATTTTTACTGTAATTCATCTCGGCGCCTCTCCCGATCAGTTTTTGGATGGGGTCAAGTCGTTCATTCTGCACAGCACTACGTAGTACACTCTGCAAATCATGATCACTGTAATCTTGTTTATTTCCCTCCATACTGTCACTGGCGTATTGAAAGGGAGGCTTCAAACCTTGGTTATTTGTAATTCGGTACCATGGTGATTTACAAGTGTTGCTAAAATTAAAAGATTTTCTGGTTTTTGTCCTTCTGCACCTCAACAAGCTGTTGCTCATAGCGCCACTTCATACTGTCTCTGTGGATTAGACTTTTAGCGTAGCACTTTTTTTTGGGGGGGGGTTGGGGGGTTGGGTGTCTCTCTCCTGGCTTTTGAAGTATTGTACAAGTTAATGAATCCATCAAAATCCTTGAGAGCTGTTTTTCATTTTTTTTCACTTCTTGCTGTATCTTTTCATTTTTGCCACATTCCTAGAGGAAGCTGGAAGCTGAGACATCAGTTTATCACCGAAACACCTACAAAAATGAACATGTTTAAATATTTTTTACATTGATACATACAATTGCTTTTTATGTAGTGCAAAATCCAAACAAATATTGCTCAACTTACATTGCATGACAAATTAATGCTAAAGACAAATAAAAAACAAAAAAAGGAAAAGAAATAGACATAACAGTCAGGTATTAAAAAAAAGATGTGTCTTAAGTTCTCCTTAAACGAGTCGATCGATGTGAAAGTGCGGACAAAAGATTTCGAGTTGAGACGTATTAACCTATGTAGTATATAATCATTTAAATAGTGGGGCTGATATTAAGATCGGGTTGGTGTGTCCAAAAGAATGGATAGATAATTGGGTGAAGAGTTATTAAAGCATTCATAGACTACTGGTGAATTAGGTGTTTAGAAGTAAAGTAACCACATATCCGATGACAGTGAATTTTACCTGAATTTTTATTATTCATTTCACTAATCTAAACATATTGATGTAAGAAAAATGCAGTAATTAAAATTAATCACTACCACCTAAAATCTAACCGATTGATCAAATAACCAATAAAGATGAAAGTCGTGATGATACGCAAAACAATCCTGAAATAAAATTGGTCAAAAACTGTCATTTTTATGTTAAAGATAAAGTTGAGTTCTGGTCATGCGATTGCATTGTGACAGAAAAGGTGTGGAATGGATCAGAAAAAGTTGATCATGTAGCATGTAAGTATTGGTGTGTACTGCAAGGTTTTGGAGTCATCAAAATCATAATAAATTTGGCCCAGTCTTGGTAAAGTAACAAGCACTGTACACAGAAAGATGTGTATGGGACTACACAAATGGTGTCGGGGCTACTAATTTTGATTTCCTTATCTTTCTATGCTCATTACTCAGCCAGTATACATTTTCTACCAAAATTGTTTGGAAAATTACATTTATTTGTAAATTTCTTTTTTTTACCAGAACTCAAGTTTATCTTTAAGCGAAGATTTTAATGGTAAACATTCATATAAATTCAAGAAGCCTTCAAAAATAATTAATCAGTTTAATTCACTTTTGTCACCTCTTGAATTGAACTTCGGTTTCATGGCAGGATCTGAAACTTGGTTTGATTTAAATACAATTTGTATAGGATTTTGACAACTATTCTCTGGTTCATATTTGTAGACAAGATAAAATTGCAGGTACAGTGTAGAATTGCTGAGTAATGCAGGAATGTAATTTATAATATATTAAGAAATGACTTATGTCATGTATTACAAGGAATTATAAAATGACATTGATTTTAACAAAATCAGTCACAATAACAAATCCATTGTTGTAGCATGGTTAAATCGGCTAATAAATAATGATATACTAGATTTTTACTGATAAAACAAATAACATACAATAATTATTGGGAAGTGAAAAGAGCGGAATTTACCTAATGGGTGGCTTTAGTATAAATGTGCTAAATTACAGTTTACAAAGCTAAACTAATGAATTATTAGAATTTCTTTCAACATGTAACCATTGATAACAAAAACAACTCGTATATCAGTAACTGAACTTCTTTTATTGATAATATCTATACCAATACACTTCTATAAAAACAAATTCAAAAATTCAAAATGGCATAATTTATGAGGATCTTTCTGATCACCGACAGATATTTGCTCTTGTTCTTTTAATTGTTATTATTTATTGTTGTTTTAGTTTATAGGCGTTTGTCATTCAGAAGTGAATATTTACGCCTATTCTCTTAGGATTTTTTCCCCTTTAGAATTAGATTTACTTATTTTAATAATTAGCTTGGATAAATTGGATTTTTAAAAGTTAAACTGTTTATGTTGAAGAATTCAGTGGCTGGCAAAGAAAAAGGCATATCGGCTATATAGGACGCCCAAGGACCAGCTCGGACACGGTACATTGTCACAAGCTTCTCAACTCAGCCTATAATGCTGAGCCTAGGCCCTCCGACGTCCACCAATAAGTATAGTCGTCTTCACCGCGTTTCTTCAAAATATTTGTCCGAAAACCAATAAGAAAAAGAACATATACTGTTACACATGAAGATTCTAAAAGTTAATATAGGCAGTTCTCTCTTCTATTATATATATATGTTTTCCTTTTCACTTTTCTTCTTCTTTATGTAGATCTATCACTCACTGTAACAAAGCGAAACATCTTGGGCTCAAATATTTATGTGCGGTCAGGCGCGCCGGGAGCAGTTTGGGATTGGCATCACCACCACTCTTACACGTTACATGCAGGCCCAGCGGAACGTTTTTCAAAGTGGAGTATTATTTTTTTTTATTTAAGTTTTATTTCCACATTAACTGCATATGAAAAAAATTTACAAAGTAAGGCATATACAAGGTAACAAAACATGTACATAATATTCGATTGATACAACAGTAATCAAAACGATTTAATGGCAAGTCATTAAATACTAACAATTATCTGCAGCAATGAGGAGGAAACCTTGGAAGCATTATGCTTGTAATTAAGGTTCCCTTTACATAATACATTTGTTTCATAATATATAAAACAAAAAACAAAACAAAAGAACAAAAACGGATGTGTGGTGCAGCCAGCCAACAAGTGTTGATAATACCGATGGTCTCTATCATGATGACCTTAAACATTTTCATACTGGGGTAGAAGTTTATGTTTCATGTGATATTTAAAAGTAATTAAACTTGGCAGCTGTTTGAGCGAAATGTCTAAGGAGTTCCAGTACACAGGACCAGTATAAATCAAAGTTGTCTTTTTTTAGTAAAGCTCTCAGTTGTGTAAGTGAAAAAAGGAAGACTGTCGGGTTGGATAATTATGAAGTTGTTGATTCTTTTGGAATGTCGACGTGATGGCATGAGGAAGTTCGTTAGAATTTAATCGAAACATAAAACAGCCTAAAAAGAAATTATAAAGGTCATGAACTTTCAATATTTTATTTTCTAAAAATAAACTATTAGTGTGGCTAAACCTATTAGTGTGGCAGATTATTCGTATGACGCGTTTTTGAAGTATCAACAATTTGTCCAACTGGTAATTAAACGAATTTCCCCAAGCAAGTATGCCATAGTTAAGGTAAGGCAAGATAAGCGTCGGGTACAAACTTTTCAAAATATGCTTAGGAAAAGACATTTTTAACCCTAAAAAGGCCGGGCTATTTGAGGTCTTAGTACGGCCGGGGGGGGGGCATTATGGCCCCACCCCCTTAAGATCTCGGCCGCGAAAATTTGCACGCATGTCAAGTGAAGTGTATAGAATAATATGATAATTTCAATTTTTTGAAAAATTCCCTCATTTGCATAGTCATGGTAATTTATGCAAATAAAGTCATACAAAACATATTTTTACCCATAAATCATATATTATTCATATTTATGCATTATTTTTTTACTACATACATTAGACCATTCTGAATAACAATGCGACAATTTTTTTTGGAAGAGCCAGCTTATTCCTTATGTTATCCCTTGTTTTGATAATTTCTAATGTTTGTCATTGCTTTTTTAACTCAAGTATTTCATTGTTTTTGTTGTTTTATTTCATGTCTTACTACAATTCAACTATTTTGACTCCCATAAGAATCACCTAAACTTTAAACAAGACCCAATAACCCATATTTGATCTGTTTTTAGGAAAAATTACTTTTCGATATGTTTTGTACACAAATCACGAAAATGAGCGATTTTCGGGCTGACATGCAAAGACAAAAGGTCACGTGACCTTGTAACCGTAGGTCCGATTTTCAAAAAAATTCTTTTAAAAGTTGCGCAAGACTCGAAAGAAAAAAGTGAGCGAGCGGCAGGGCGCCATCTATATGCGGTCCCGAGCAATCGGAAAAATCGTGGAGGGGGGGGGCATAATGGCCCCCCGGCCTTATTAGGGTTAATTTATTGATTATTCCAATGTTCCTTGATAGAGTTTTACTTAAATATAAGTTGTGTTCTTTCCAAGAAAGTTTATTGTTAATGATAAAACCAAGGAATTTTGACGAATCAACTAAGTTTATAATTGTTTCATTGATGTAAACATTGCCAGGCAATCCCGAAATAGAGTTGCTGAAGAGCATACATTGAGTTTTATTTAAGTTCAAGGAAAGTTTGTTGGCACAAATCCACTCTTCAACAAGTTTCATTTCAAGATTTACGGTTTCAAGTAGTGTATTTGGGTTTTTGTGTTAGAAAAACACAGTAGAATCATCAGCAAATAATATAAACGACAAAACATTGGAGATTTGAAAGTCATTCATATAAAATATAAATAGAAGAGGCCCTGAAGGGATCCTTGTGGCACTCCACAAATAATCTGTTGAAAGGCTGAGTCTGCTCTATTTATGGTTACGTATTGTTTCCTACCCCTGAGGTAGCTTTCGAACCACTCCAAGGCCCTTCCACGTATACCGACAGGGGGCTGAGCCCCCGGAAGCTCAGGGTTTTAATATTTAACTACGGTCAGATGAGCATCTTGGAGCCACCTTAGGGCCCTTGGTGAGGTCCAGGGGGCCAATGGCGGATCCAGGGGGGGGGGGGGGTGCCGGGGGGCCCG